ATATTTAAAAAGTATTAGAAATATATAAAGCTATTTATTATAAAAAAATAAGACTTTTAAAATATAATAATTAAGATATAAAAATAGAACTTAAAAAAGAAAATAATTATAATTCTATTTATTATACGCTTTTAATTAATAAAAATAATAAGAACTTAACGATTATTTTAAGAAAATACTTATTAAAAATATATATTAAACCCTTTAATTTATTAATTAAAGTATTAATATTCTTTATATTAAAGAAAGAATAAAAATTATAATTAATAATGAATTATTAAGAACTTAACTCGATTATTAAAAAGAATTATTATTTTTTATTTCTTATTATTAAAATCAAAAACTATTATATAGAGTTAATTAATTTATTATAATAGATTTTAAAATAATATTTAATTAAATTAAAAATAAAAAAAAATAAATACCCGTTAATCCGTGGTTATAAATTTTAGGAGAGAAAATTAAAAAGGTAAAAAGAAATTATAAAAATAGTCTAACGAAATAGTGGGGTATTTACTAGTACTATGTATTAATACCGTATAACCATATTAAGAACCGCCTAAGTAATTGTAGAAGTAGAATTAAAAATAAAAATAAATAAATAAAAATTACGTTTTAAATAAAAAGGACCTTTTAAATACTTCGTAATATTTTTTTAAACTTATTAACGTACTTATTATTTTTTAAATAATATTTAATTATATATTTAGTATATTAATATTTTTATTATTATATATATTAATAATATTCTTATTTTCTTATTGAATTTAGAAATATATAAGAAGTATATTTATATAGTATTTTAAAAACTCTAAGATACGAACTCGTTATTAATCTTAAAATAAACTAGTTTATATTATTAAGAACTTATATAAACTATAACTCCTTAATTATTTTATATTTATAAGTATTTAATATAGATTTTAAAATATTAGATTTATTTACTTCTTATATTCCCTAATAAAAAGTCTTAGCTTAATACTTATATATTAGTTTTTAAGTTTTTAAATATAGGATAGATAATTAATAATAGTAATTATTAATAATCAAAGACGAGCTAATTCTTTATAAAGCTTTAAAACCTCCTATTTTCTTTTTTTTTTATTCTTTTTATTGTATTAAGTTTTTAAATTATAAAAAAATTAAAAACTATAAATAAGGAAAAAGAACGAATTTATAAGTCGAAATTATTTATATTTTATTATAAAGCTTTTTATTTTAATATAGGTTTAATAATAAAAGAACTTTTACTAAATTAATACGAAATTTTAATACGGAAATAACGAGTATAAAATATATTAATAATTACTAAACGAGCTTTAATAAATTTCAAAACGTAAAGCGGTTATAATTTTTATTTTTATTTTTTTAAATTTCTTTTTAAATTTAATTTTTTATTTATTTTTAATTCTACCTCTACTAATCGCTCAGCCGTTCTCAATATTAGTTATATAGTATTAATATATAGTATCAGTAGATACTCCTACTATCTCAGTAGACTTTAATTTTTCTATATAACTTAATATAGTATTAATATTATAAATAATAAATAAGGCCTCTAGCTATTATAATAATTTATTAAGAATAATTATTAATAAAACGTAGCCGTTTTCTTATAATAGCCCGCCCGTCTATTACTACTTTATTAATAAATTTTTAGGGTTATATATTATAAATAACTTTTAACTTTTTAATTTTTTAACTTTTAAACTTTTAAATAATAATTATATTACTAAACTAAGTACTAAGTACTTTATTACTTAACTTTTAATAATTATCTTTATTAATACCCTTTACCCTAGGTTAACGAGCCGTTATTATTTAATATATTATATTACTATTTTATTAAACTTTATTTTTAACTAACCTAATTTAATAATAACGCCTTCCTCTCGTTCTCTTATTTACTATTAGTATAGTTTAGCTTTAATAATACTTAACTACGTACTACGTACTAGTTTATTAAATACCTAGGCCCTTATAAAATAAATAACTATTATTATAATATTATAAAAATAATAATATTATTATTAATAACCTAACTTCTACTTAAAATAAAAACCTCTATTAATTTTAATTTATTTAAATATACTTTAAAATACTTAATATAAATGTTATTTATTTTAATATAATTAAAATAAATAATAAAAGCGTTTTTTTAAAAATTATAAAGGAAATAGGGCGTTATTAAATAAAACGCGCCCTAAAAAAATATAATAAAATTGAAATTAATAATAAGGCTATTTAAATATAAATAAGCTAGGAATAATATTAAACTTAAGAGCTATAAATAAGTTTATTAAGTTATTTATTATATATATTACTTATATTTACTAAGATAGTGGGAGTATCTACTGATATTATGTATTAATACTGTGTAACCGATATTAAGAACCGCTCGAGCGATTCGTAGAAGTAGAATACTAAATAAATATATTACTTATAATATTAATTAGTAGAGTTATTATAATTCGAGGACTTAAAAATATAAAAAAGGGATTTATTTACTATTTAATAGCTCAATAGATTTTTTATATTTACCTGAGGGTATTAGGGTTCTATAAATAAGAATATTTATAATACGTTAATTATATTATAATTTAATATATAATACAAGTTTAAAAACTATAATAATATATAACTTTAAGTAATTTTAACTTTAATAATATGATTATTATAACTAAATTAACGACTTTGTAAGCCGTTTATTTACCTAAGTATTATATCATATAATTTTTAAAATAAGTAGCTAGTAATTATTACGACCTAATACGCATAATAAGGCTAGGGCATACCTATAAGACCTATAATAGCTATTATACTATATATATAAAAATATAAACTTAGAATAACTCCTCTTAGGATAAAAACTATAAATAAGTTATATAATTATAATTATGTAATAAAATAAAGAACGAATATTTATAAAATAAATAAAATAAATAATTATATATAAATGAAATAAATAACTATTTAATAAACGGTTAGGTAATTATAAATAACGGTATTATAAAGGATATATTTAAAAACAAAACTTATATATAATATAAACTTAAGCTAGCTTAAGATAAACTTTATAATTTTTTAATAATTAACTTAATATTAAATTTTACGATCGCTTTTAGTTATTTTTATTAAAACCCTTTTAATAAAATTATAATTAATTACTAAAACCTTACTTATTTTACAACCTATAAATAAATATAGCTTTAAGGAAGCTATTTATAATTATAATATTATTTATTTAGTTATTATAGCTTTAATTTCTGCTAATCTACTTATTATAACTAACTAGCCGTAATAATAATATAGTTAGATATATAAGAATTTTTTAATAAAGCTCTATACGTATTATAGATTATTATACTTTTAATTTAATAAAATACGTATATACTAATATATACTATTTAAAAAACTATATTTAGAGATATATTTATATAGGGTGAGCTTTTTACGTATATAGTATATAAAATAAAATAAAACTAAAAATAACACTAAATAAATAATAAATAAAGAAATAACTTAATTAGCCCTAACTTAGGCTATAAATATTTATTTATAAGTTTATAAAACTAGATTTTTCTTTTAAAAAAGACCTAATATTACGACTTAATATATATAATTAAAACTAAGGCCTACCCTATAAGCCTATAATAGCTACTATATATTATATATATACGGGGATATTAAATTTATAATTACGATATTATTATTCGCTTCATAGCCTAACTTCTTAATATACCTTATTACGACTAGCTAGCCGTAATAATTATTATATAAATATATTACTTAATTTATTATTAATAAATAGTTAAAGTAAGTAGCTTACTTATCCCGAATTAAATAGTAGTTTTTATATTAAAATTATTATATTATATTAAGCGTATACTTAGGGTATATTATACGTATTATATAATTAAAAGTATACTATATTATATAATTTCTTTTAAAACGTAATCCCGTTAAGGTCGATCTTTTATACTTATAAAGCTAGAAAAAACTACTATATATAACTATTATTTTACTAAAAATACTCGTTAATAAGTCTACCCCTTTTAAACTAAGTACTTATAACTAGTTTAATATTATATTAATTATATATATTTAATATTATATTAATTATATATATTTAATATTATATTAATTATATATATTTAATATTATATTGATTATAATATATATAAATATATTTAAAAATAGTAAAATACTTTTTAATACTTTTTAATAATACGGAATTTAGTTAAGTAATATTATAAATATTATAAATAGCTAAGCTAATACGGATATTAAAATTTAATATATTAATACTAATTTAATTATAATAATTATAATAAGCGGGCTAAAAGAATATAGGGTTAAAATAATAAATTAATATTTTAAATAGCTCTTATAAACCCTTTTAAATAATAATAATATTTATATAAAAAGAGATCGTATTAAACTTAGCTATTTATATAAGCTAGTATTAAGAGGGTTTATATATATTAGAATAAGTAAAGCTCGTTTTATAAATAAATAATAAAAAGTCGAGAGTTAATAAAAAGAGAAGAATTAAGTTAGTTAACTATTTTAGTTAATAATTAGGTATAGAGCGTAATATACTTAGTTTTCTTTAATATGTAATATATAGTACGGCCATTAGATTGCTCTATTAATATAATTAATATAACCGCAATCTAAATACTTTTAAAATTTAATATTTATCAAATATAATAAAGAATATTTAAAAATAGTTTTTTTTTATATTAAAAAAGTAAATAAGAGTATATTAGAAGGTGATTAATCCTTTAATTTTGATGAGTTACATTATTATTTAGTATAGCTGAGTAGTCTGCTGATCCTTAACTATACCTCTGTGGCTATGCTGGCTGCATGCCCGTGCTGCGCACCCCCTTATGTACACGTAGCCGCAACCGCGCGCTAGAGATATATGGATCTCGTACTAGTCACTGGCAGGTACCTCCCTAGGTAGCCCCACCACAGCTTGTTCCTGCCACATTGCCTCCACCGGTCGGCCACCGCTCAAAGCCGCCGCGGTTTGTTAACTGTGCCGTGGCCATACCAAGCTACTTTCTCCGTCCTATCTTCTATCCAACGCAGCAATTCTCGCGGCACTGCAAACTATCTGCTGGCAACCTAAGTATGAATTAAATGCACCGCTATTCCTGCTCAAATATCCGCCACTGACCACACCTTTCAGGATTCACGCCGTCACGCAGAAGCCGCACCGCCTGACTATCGACCGCAGCAGAGCACTTAAACAACGATGGACTACGAAGCTCTTAAGGAGCAATGGAGCGAGGTCGAGGACCGCGATGGAGTTCGCCTGAGTTGGAACGTGTTTCCTAGCTCTCGTATGGTCAGTTGCTCTTGGAAAGTGTCTTGCTGCATCTTCTGACATGTGCTTATACAGGAAGCATCGCGCTTGGTCGTGCCGATCGGGGCCAACTACACTCCCCTCAAAGAAAAGCCCGACACACCACTCCTCCAATTCGAACCGGTGACTTGCAAGCAACCTTGTCGCTCCGTCCTCAATCCTTTCTGGTGAGTCAAGCGAGTTGAGTTATCGGAATCTCTCAGTCTGACCTGGGCTAGCTCTGTGGACGTAAGAGCCCGTCTCTGGATCTGTCCGTTCTGCCTATCGCGGAACCCTCTTCCGCCCCATTACAAAGACATCACCGCCAATGCCATCCCCCCTGAACTTCACCCCTCCAACACTACGATCGAGTATCGGCTCTCGCGGCCGGCGCCAAGCCCTCCCATCTTCCTCTATGTTGTCGACACCTGCCAAGAGGATGATAGCCTGGCTGCGCTCAAGGAGTCATTGGTCATGAGCCTGAGCCTGCTACCCGAAAATGCACTTGTTGGCTTAATCACATATGGCACGATGGTAGGTGGCGTGTCCATTGGGAACCCCACAACCCTCCTTGCTGATCACTTCTCAAGGCACAAGTTCACGAAATCGGCTACACTGAATGCGCGAAATCATATGTGTTTCGCGGTAGCAAAGACTACTCCGCGAAGCAGGTGCAGGAGATGCTCGGCTTGCTCTCCCCAGCAATGCGACCCGGCATGCCCCAGCAACAACCTGGAAGGCCTATGCCCGCAGGCCCTGCGTCGAGATTTCTGCTGCCCGTTCAGCAGGCCGAGTTTCAGCTGACGAAAGCTTTGGAGCAGCTACAGAAAGATCCATGGCCCGTAGCCAACGACCGCAGGAGTCTGCGCTGCTCCGGCGTTGCTCTCAGTGTCGCAGTAGGACTCCTTGAGTCTTCATTCCAGCACGCCGGTGGTCGCATCATGCTCTTCGCTGGTGGACCGGCAACAGAGGGACCCGGCATGGTAGTTGGCCCGGAGCTGAGAGAGCCCATTCGATCGCACCACGACATTGACCGTGACAACATCAAGTACTACAAGAAGGCACTCAAGGTCGGTACTTAGATGAGGTTTCCTCTGCACAGGCAAAGCTGACGCTAGTCTCTAGTTCTACGATATCCTGGCCAAGAGGACTGCTCATAATGGCCACATCATTGATATATTCGCGGGTTGTCTTGATCAAGTCGGTCTCTTAGAGATGAAAGGCCTCTGCAATTCCACCGGTGGCCACATGATTCTGACCGACAGTTTTACTTCCTCTATGTTCAGGCAATCATTCATTCGCGTGTTTGAAAAGGATGGTGACGACAATTTGCTGATGGGCTTCAATGCTACGCTCGAAGTACTCACCACTAAAGAGTTAAAGGTTACTGGACTGATAGGCCATGCCATTTCTCTTAACAAGAAATCGACATCGGTTGGAGAGACGGAATGTGGCATAGGCAATACATGCTCATGGAAGATGTGCGGCATCGACCCCAACGCAAGTTACGGCGTATACTTTGAAATTGCAAGTCAGGGAGGCCCTACACAGCATCAGCAAACGCCACAGAAGGGCATGATTCAATTCCTCACCTACTACCAACACTCGTCCGGTCAATTCCATCTGAGGGTTACGACAATTGCCAGAAATCTCAGTGGACCAGCTGGCGATCCAGCTATTGCACAATCGTTCGACCAGGAAGCTGCTGCTGTCCTGATGTCTCGCATTGCAGTGTTCAAGGCCGAAGTTGATGACGGTCCGGATGTCTTGCGCTGGGTTGACAGGATGCTTATCAGACTCTGCTCCCGCTTTGCAGACTACCGGAAAGATGATCCATCCTCCTTCCGGCTCGAGAAGAACTTTACACTGTATCCCCAGTTCATGTTCCATCTCCGGAGGAGTCAATTCCTACAGGTCTTCAACAACTCCCCCGACGAGACGGCCTTCTATCGCCATGTCCTTAACCACGAGGACGTAAGCAACTCGCTCATCATGATACAGCCCACGTTAGACTCGTACACGTTTGATCAGGAGGGTGGCCAACCTGTGTTGCTGGACTCGACTTCTATTCAACCCACCCATATCCTTCTTCTCGACACCTTCTTCCACATTCTCATTTTCCACGGCGAGACGGTCGCCGAGTGGCGCAAGGCGGGATACCAGGATCAAGAGGGCTATGAAAACTTTGCATCTCTGCTCGAGCAGCCCAAGGAAGATGCAAGAGTAAGCTCTCTCCCTCCCTCAGGTTCTCAGTATGTCAGCTAACGTTATGTAGGATCTCATCACCGATAGATTCCCACTTCCTCGATTCATTGTTTGTGATGCTGGAGGTTCTCAAGCCAGATTCCTTCTGTCGAAGCTCAACCCGTCGACCACCCACACTACTGGGGCTTATGGCGGTGTGGGTGCGCAAAACGCCCAGACTATCTTCACTGATGATGTGTCTCTGCAAACCTTCATGGACCATCTCATGAAGTAAGGAATTACTCAATATTTATCCTATCCTAACGGACTTACTAACTCTGGGTGTTAGGCTGGCCGTGAGCGGCACAAACTAAATTAGTTGCCTATCGTCATGGGCCGAAGGAGGATATCGGTGCCAGCAAAGACGTGGTGGCCGTCTTGGTCGTGCCAAGAGACGACAAATCCACTAGAAGGGGGATGAAGGGCGCAATCGCAAACTCGGAGTCTGGATGTTTCTGGCATATAAGACTTCTGACTTTGCTGTAGTTATGAAGACAGATGCCAATGAACACTGAAGAAATCCGTGTAAAGATTTCACTTACGCGGCCAATGCCAAAAATAGACCTTGCAGTCTGTGAAATCTATCAGATTGAACCATGAGAGCAAGGCAAATGAGCCGATAAGTTAAGCGGTGTTGAGACTCTACCCGAGCCAAGGTATTCGAGGAGACCTACGTACCCGACGCAACTGTGTTCGATCTGGTACATGTGAAGCGTGATAGAGTGGGGATGTATGGTAGCTGAAGAACCCCGCCCCCACCAAGACGATTGATTCTCTACAAGGTACGGAGTGGGAGCGTAGGGAGGCAAGATAATGCACGGTGTACATCAGGTGGGCACCTGTATCCCCAAATATCCCTTGGTAGGGCAGTACCGCAATTGATGAGGCGCACTCCGTATGGACTTCGTCAAAGTTGCCTTTCTGACGTGTGGCTAGAGTTAAGGTAGTTGTGGGCAGGTAGCGAATGTGGCTTGGCCTGGTAGGTAAGGTAGCGAGAGCCGATAAGAAGATAAGATAGACAGGTAAGGTAGTTAATATTACCTCATCAATCAAGGGCACTTTAGTCTTTAGGTGCGAGAAAACCACGTGATAGTTGTGGCTTTCTTTGGCGAAAGACCCTCCGTGGACAGTGGAGTGCGAAAAGGGTCATTGGCCAGGCTTTTGTGCACCAATTTTCTCCACCCAGCCACATGGATTGTGGCGTAGTATCTTAGTCTTTTTTGCCTAGGGCTGTGAGAAGGCGCACAGAACTAATCAACATTTTCCCCCGTCCAACTCGGCCTCAACTCCATCCTTCGACACCAACTTTCCCATCAGACCCAGATCCGAGAGCAGACACGATGCGTAAGTGATCCTTTCGACTGCCATGAGGCCGAACAAGCGACGACAGGAAAACTAACAGTTTACCACAGCTCCCAAATTCGATCCTAACGAAGTCAAGGTCATGTACGTCGCACCTTCCCTATAACTCAGAATATTTGCGGTGACGAGGAAGGAGTTTTTTTTTCTTCTAACACAATTCGCGAATATAGTCACCTCCTGGCTACCGGAGGTGAGGTCGGTGCCTCCTCCGCCTTGGCCCCCAAGATCGGTCCTCTCGGTCTGTCTCCCAAGAAAGTTGGTGAAGATATCGCGAAGGCAACTGGCGACTGGGTATGGCAATCCCTCCACCCTTAACTTTAACACCCCCGCAAGCGAACTGGAACAGAACTGACATGCTTGGAATTATAGAAGGGCCTCCGCGTGACGGTCAAGCTCACCATCCAGAACCGTCAAGCCGCTGTCTCCGTTGTCCCTACCGCCTCTTCCCTCATTATCCGCGCCCTCAAGGAGCCCCCTCGCGACCGCAAGAAGGAGAAGAACATCAAGCACAACAAGTCTGTTCCTCTGGAGGAGATCATCGAGATTGCGAGAACCATGCGCCACAAGTCTTTCTCCAAGACGTTGGAGGGAGGTGTTAAGGAGATTCTTGGAACAGCAAACAGTGTCGGATGCCAGGTTGACGGCAAGAGCCCCAAGGCCATCACCGATGCCATCGACGCTGGTGAGATTGACAGTAAGTACCAAACAACCTTCGATCAGTTACGTTCCAAACTTGGAAAATGATCACAGTCATTTGTTGGAGTAGCTGGCTAACACGATGAACAGTCCCCGAGGAATAAAGGAGGTCAATAGCTGGACGGACACTCTCGCATGACTTCTGGAGTTTAGGAATGGTTCTGCATTAAGGGGACTACCCAAAAGGGACAACCTTGGGCAAAGAAAAAAAGAATTGCCAAATGACCAAATGACAAAGTTTCCAAAAGATGGATGTCGCAATTTTGCTCGCCGCGAATTACCTCATTGCGCTGTGATATCAAGGTCTGCGAATTGGTGTGGGCATTTCTGCTTAGAGTCCCGGATGTGCCCTGGCATATCTATGTCCTGGTTTCAAAATAGTTTGGAGCTTCTCAGTTGCAGGGCCATGTCCATAACAATGTACTGCACTCCGCACGCCGATTGGCATGGTCAACAAGGATGCAATTGCAGCATTTGGTCATGGTTCGGGAGAGTACGCGACCTCGAGGAACCGGTCACATGTGTGGTCTGACATCAGTAAGGTATATACAAACGACGTTTGGCGGGTTGCGGGCTTTGGGGTGGACCTGAATGTTTGTGTGCTAAGCTGTGTCCTAGGTATGATATGCACATCCTAAATAAGTGACCTGATGCTTCAATGATTCAGACTGTGCCATTAGGTTATTAAAACATAGATAAGGGGACCTTTGGTTCCTGCGCAAGATACTTGGAGGAAGTTGAGCGAGGAAGGAGGATTATTTCATCCGGTATAGTGCATTTCTTACGTATGGTTGGTAAAATTAGCACTGTCTTGGGCAGTGCAGCGAAACCAACGTGTTTGGCACTAATGCATGGATCCAGGCTTGTCACCTCACCGGCCGGCGTTTAAGATTGATAAAAGGTCGGGTTGCTTCCATTGTTGGATTTACTAGGTGTTGTTGCCCGCCGTTCCTCATTACTTTACGTCCAACGAATAATGAGTATCTTGTCCGCAGCTCACGGGACCCATATGAGGAGATATATCTTCCTCATTTGATCGAGGAATTTCACTCCCTATGCGCCTTCAGCCAAGAGCATTTCCAAGTTGAGGGAGGGCCTGGTGTACCTTGTGAACTTCCCTGCTTAAGTAACCCACCCCAAGTCGCCGCGCTTCTTAATGCCAAGTTTTGTTGCGGCATTCCCGTTTTGTACTTTTACAGGTAACTGCGAAGACAACGTACTTTTGAATCCGCACCTGTACTGTGAGGTGTATAATCGCCTTTCTCGACTACGGCTGGGATATCAAGATCGCTCTCTCCCGAGACATTTATTATCTCCTCCATCTTTGCACTCCGTTGTTTAAAGTACCTATAAGCCGCTGCCAGCCGTTGCCTCCTGTCCTGTATCCGTATCTCCTTCGTTGCTCACCTCGTCTGACCGCTTTTGAGAAGTACGGAGCACGCCCCAGTTGTGACCCCCCACCCCTCCGCCCCGTCACCTAAGGTACCATGCGTCAAGCCTCACGGTACCTTTCCTCACCTCATCACACCCACCCCAGTCACGACATCCAACTTTGAGCAGCCAAACCCCCAATACTAGGAACCCCATGCCCATGGTCCGCGCATACGTAGTACACAATCTTTGACAGACTAGTGTCTAGTACTCGTACGGGATAGTGCGCTGACCTTTCCCTGACGCTGTAAGGTATGCTCTGCTCTTGGATACGTACCTCCGCGTCAGGCTGGAGGTCATAAGCTGGGAGGGATACTGAAGACTTCTTGACAGATCCTCGAGACGATTAAATCTAGGCCAGAGGGCAGCCTTCAGCTTAACCCGCTATATCGGGCTGATACCCATTCTAATACCTAGTCTGGCCGTCAACTTCTGACTTCTTATCATACTGCTGACACTGCTGTGACTGCTGTGACTGCCTGAGTGGTCCGCCTGGATGATCGCCTTACCTATTTGACCTGCGCTTCTTTCTTCTCCCAACGGCTCCCGTGCTACGGCTAGCACCACCACCACCACCACCACCACCACCACCACCCCCGACTGGGGCTAAACCGGGCTGAATCGCATTGCATCTTCCTACACAATCAAACCTGTAGCCACGGCCACGGCTGCAAGCTATAGCTGTCATTTTTGCTCCCGTCGCGGCTACCGCCACAGCTACCGTTACTGCTACTATTACTACTACTACTACTACTGCCGCTGCAGACCTCGCACTAGACGCATTGTGTTTGCTCCACGTTGCTTTCGTATTCTTCTTCTCGCCAATAGAGGATCACTCGATCGACCGCTTCAACCTCTCCTCTTGCGATCTTGTCGCTGAACTCGCCTGTCAGGCCGAACGTCTCTACCGTTACCATTCCTCCATTAGGCCCCCCAGCCTCGCATTGCCCCGACCGACGAACCCGGCGCTACCTTCACGACGTAACGACAAACCTCTGTCGGAGGGGGGGAAACGATATTTTCTCGACATTGCCCTCCGTCGCGCTTCATCGAACTTGAAGCACAAGAGAGCCGGGTCCCTAGGCTTGGAAAGGCCGCAGGGCAGGTGGCATTGCTATCGGGCATTGGCACAGCCGTTCGCTCGAGGCGTCCCAGAGGCCATGCCCGTCAGCCGGCCTGTCAGCCATGCTTTAGCCAGCAGGCAATGACAACTGGATCCCGGATCGATATATCCAGCCTGGAACTCGCAGCACTCTCCTTTGTGCTGAGCTCGCTCGTTCCGTGCTCCGCTCCATGATACCCAGAAGCGCCTCGTCGTCTCCATCACATAACCCATGTTGCCTCTAGTTCAGATGCACCATACGGTGCCACAGGCGCCAAACTTCGATCCCCTCCCGCCCTTCCAGCAGCCACAACAACAGCACCACCACCTCCAGCACCGCCAGCCAGAAGACTACACACCGCAGCAACATAACTACCACCTGCTTCCTCACTTCAGCACGTATACGTTCAATCAGAACTTACGCTGCCCGCCAGCCGGCTCGGCGAATGCTCTTTTCCCCGACGGCAAGACGCCACGATCCTTTCCAATCCGGACTTCTTCACACCCAAATCAACCGATACAGCGCCGCACGACGGCCGCAGGCCAGTCGCATTTTCTTGACGGACCGGAACATCAGTTGCGACGTAAAACGCCGAATGGCACTATTGAAGCTGGCTACGATGGTTCTCATGCTCAATACGCCTCGAGGCCTCCGCCCCTGAAGCAGATGGCGCTCCCGGCGGTTCAAATGGCGTATAATACGAACCGCCCTCATCAGACCACCGACCAGATCCGTAATTCTTTACCTGTCCGTGATCAGGCAGGCGTTAGTTTGAACATAACGCCTCCAACATATCAACTATGGCCACTTGCGCAGGACTTGACCCACCAGTCGATGCACTCTACCGTCTCTCTAGCCTCTTCGCAATATGGGTTCAACACTCCGGACACGGCTGCGCTGTTTGGCTCTACTCCTCAGCTTCATTCGCGGCCTTCGCTATTCAATGCCAACTCATATTTCCCCGGGACCCTCCCTTCTGGAAACACCGGAGCCAGTATCCCGGGACTACTGCATGTAGCCAACTCGTGGTTTCCGACGCATCAGCAAGAGCAGAGTTATGTCGGCCCGCCGATGCACCATACCCCGTCTCCTTCACCATCCATTTACGACCATCGTTACTCCAAGGTGCAGAATCAGATCATAGGACCGTCTGCCCACTTCACTCCACAGGATCCTTACGCTCACCTCTCGGCATATGGGTCTGGCTTTTTGCAACCTGCGCAAACTCATTTAGAGGCTCTTACGCTAGAACCGCCTCAAGCTATCAGCGCTGTTGATTCTATGAACAAGACACATTCTTCGGCGTTCAGAGAAAAGGCGCTGGCTCAAGCGCACCGAAGTTATGTCGACTTACTCGCACTCTTGCATCACGGGCGCAAAACTCAGCAGTTGAGGCCTGGCTCAGCTCTGAGCACTACCTCGAGAATGGTGGTATATCCCAAACCACCTAAACAGCCCATCGTCACCTTGGCCCCGGACCTCTTTTTCCCGGGAGATGCCGCTATGATGGCCAACGCAAGCCACAGAAACAACCAAGAAAGCATGCTATTCGGTCCCTTGGGAGACAAATCGCCGCTCACAACGCAGCATGCTGGCTGGGACGGGCTTACGGATTTTCGGCATGGCAATTTCCCGGTCACGAACTCCAGTGGATCTTTGTATCCGAATCAGATTTCGAGAGGCTCGCCTCTCGCGAATGCCAAAAGTTCCCTAGAGCTTCTCACCCGTCTATGTGAGCACTCCAAATGGAAATGGATCGATGGTGTTCTACTGGGAGGCTGCTTGCACTACGGCCTGGAACACTTCGAGGAAGCCTTAGAATGGTTTACCCGAATCACTTCACTAGAGCCGAAGTAAGTCTTTATCCCACCATTTATGTCTTGCGTCTGGCTGTTACTGTTGTGGGATTACGAAATCACCCTTATTAACTCTTCATATAGTCATGTGGAAGCAGTGTCGAATCAGGCGGCGACTTTGTACTGCCTGAACAGACAAGACGAGGCGGAGAAATGCTGGTTGAAGGCGATCAAGACTCGACCGCAATACCTTGAAGCGGTAGAACATTTGGTCGGTCTGCTGTATAAAAAGAAAAGCGTCGACGCGGTTGATGTCATCAATTTTGTTCAAAAGTCTCTCAGGCTACCAAAAGGATCAACAGGAGAGACTGGCTATGACACTGCCGCCGCCCAAAGGGATGCCGCTCCCAGCTTGGCGGCTAGCCTTTTCGACGAAAGCCGAACCCAGCCTGGCTTTGGTTCGAGCGGTTATGCTATTTCAGGTACCGAAAATGGCCGCATCCTCGCATTAGTCCATGCCAAAGGAACAATGCTGTACAGTCTGAAGGATATCGCAGGGGCGTCTGAAGCCTTTGAGGAAGCTGTCTTGATCAGCGCAGGAAGAAGAACAGCATCTGTTCAGACGTTAGTCCGACAGATCCAGCAGGTTCTGGCACCAAATGGCAGCAATCACCACGTCATCGACAAGGCGACGCCGTCTCGCCCCTTGTTACTGCCACCTGAACAGGCGAGGCGCACGGCAAAGCTAGTATTTTCCAACAACGGCGATCTCCCTGGACTACGGTTCGTGCCTGAAGGCGGCCCAAAGCGGGCAGCAATCCAGACTACTAGCAATTCGCTACTTTCTCTCGCCAAGATATTCCAAGATGCCATGTCCTCTGGCTCGCAGGCTGCGGGACTAGTAAGGAAGTCGGCCGGCGTTGGTGACATTCTGTCTCTTTACTATCTTTCATTGTCACTTCAAGAGAGCCCATCAACTGCAAACAATGTAGGCATTCTACTTGCCAGTGTACAGCAGCCCATGGCAGCATCGTCGAGTCAAACTTTGTCATCATTGCCTAGTATTCCTGGCATTACCCCTGGCAGTGGACTCGCTTTGGCTCTTGCGTACTACAACTACGGGCTTACACTGGATCCAAAGCACGTTCACCTGCACACCAATCTCGGCAGTCTTCTCAAGGACATTGGTCAGCTGGACCTTGCGATTCAGATGTATGAGCAGGCTGTTCAGTGTGATGGAAATTTTGATATCGCCCTAACAAATCTTGCAAATGCCGTCAAGGATCGAGGGCGTATCAGTGATGCAATAACATACTACAAAAGGGCTGTTCATTCCAATCCAGAATTTGCAGAAGCAGTATGCGGGTTGTCTACAGCCTTGAACTCGGTTTGCGACTGGAGAGGCAGGGGCGGCGCACTCCTACAGGGGGGCACGTATGATCGCTGGCATGTCGACAACGAGGGCATGTTTTTCGATGCCAGAAAGGAAAACCAAGGATCCGGCCTCACGAAGAAGGTTATCGACATCGTGTCGCGCCAACTCGCTGACGCGTCAACTTGGGGCGTTGGCGTTCTACAGGATAACGATATTGCAGCATTGGTTGCACAGCTGCGTTTGGCCGACGGGGAGTCGAATGACGCCCACGCCAACTTCTCGACAAAGCTACTTAGCTGGTCCAAGAGTCCTTGGGAAGGATCGCGTCTGCTGAGGCTTGTGGAGCGTGGAGCACGGGCAGCGATGCGGCGATGGTATTGCGACAAGTTTGTTCGGGGTTCGATGAAGTCGACCTCGGAGTACATGCGTCCTCAACTACCGTCTACCCTCGCTGTACCATCCGCTCCAACAGTCCTCCCATTCCATACCTTCACCTGTCCCTTGACTGCCAAGGACATTCGCATGATATCACAACGCAACGCGTTCAGGATCTCCTGTTCCACACTTCGCTCCCCTTGGCTTCCAAAGACCGTCTACCCCCCACCTGCGCCTCCATCGCCTCACCTGAATGTCGGCTATGTTTCTTCGGACTTCAATAATCATCCCCTGGCCCACCTGTAAGACGGCTCGATTTGATTCAATATTACCTTGCCGCAGTTTGTACTGACATCTTAATAGTATGCAATCTGTTTTCGGTTTTCACGATTCCACCCGCGTAAAAGCATTCTGCTATGCCACGACAGCAAGTGATAAATCTGTTCATCGGCTGCAGATTGAACGCGAAGCGCCTGTGTTCCGAGATGCCAGCACGTGGACTTCGGACAAGCTAGTTGAGCAAATCGTTCAAGACAATATTCATATCCTTGTCAACCTGAATGGCTATACTAGAGGCGCTCGCAACGAAATTTTTGCAGCGAGACCTGTTCCGATCCAAATGTCCTTCATGGGCTTCGCCGGCAGCTTGGGTGCCGAGTGGTGTGACTATCTGCTTGCAGACGCCACAGCAATCCCGCCGGAGACACTACGCCCTTGGCGTGGTAACCTCTCTGTTACAGACATTTTTGAGGACAAAACTGAAGAAGGCGACGGAGACTGGATCTACTCGGAGAACATCGTGTTCTGCAAAGACACTTTCTTTTGCTGTGACCATGCGCAGTCGAGCGATCCCGATGAACATAAAGTTTCATGGGAAGATGAGCAGCGCCGACGGTGGAGCATGCGGAAAGAGCTGTTCCCCAATCTGCCCGATGATACCGTTATCATGGGAAATTTCAATCAACTATACAAGGTTCGTCATATTCCGCGTATTTATGCATCACTCCCGAGACCAGTAGCTAACTCCTTCTCAAGATCGACCCTACAACATTCCGGACGTGGCTACGCATCCTAGCACAGGCTCCCAAGGCCATCTTATGGCTCTTGCGATTCCCCGAACTGGGAGAAACGAATCTTAGGAGGACGGCGAAGGATTGGGCCGGGGAAGAAGTTGCTAGCCGAATCATCTTCACGGACGTGGCACCGAAGAACCAGCATATTTCCCGAGCTCGCGTTTGCGATTTATTCCTCGACACCCCCGAGTGTAACGCGCACACCACGGCCGCAGATGTATTGTGGTCTAGTACACCTCTTCTCACACTACCACGATACCCCTACAAGATGTGTTCGCGTATGGCGGCTTCAATTTTGAAGGGCGCCTTGCCTAGAGGTCCCGTGGGTGTTGAGGCAGCAAAGGACCTCATCGCCGGCAGTGAAGAAGACTACGAGCTCTTTGCCATCAGACTAGCTAATGGCCTGTCCTATCGAGTTGGTCGTGGTGGCTATGGTGAAGGCAGGGGTCGGTTGGCAACCTTGCGCAAAACACTGTGGGACAGCAAATGGACCTGTGCGCTTTTCGATACCAGACGATGGGTGGTTGATCTAGAGAAGGCCTACGACGAGGCGTGGCGACGATGGGTGGCAGGAGAGGATGGAGATATCTACTTGTAGAGGCTCCAGCATTTCTTTCAGGGGCATGGCAACTTTGATTACGCATTCATGTACTGGGACGAAGAGCTCGCGCCCAGTACTTATACTTGCCGAAATCATGTTCGTTTTGGGGCAATCTTCTTTGGCTTTTATTCTGGATGCACCACTAGGGACTTGCAGGCTGGCCAAGGTGCTGGCCAGGTTTAGACATCAGCGGCGGGAGTTCCAGGCGGAGGATATGCTATTGATCTGCCTAGACACCAGTCCAGAGCAATACTGCTCGATGAACTGAGCATATCTTTTACTGCTTTGACGTTACTGAGGCAAACTCAGTGTTGGTTGCGGGATGGAGCCGGCGTTTGGAGGAGGGTTTGCCTCGGAGCAGGCTATGATGTACATAATAATACCCTGGGCCTCTTTCCTCGTCCATGTGAGATGTGAGGCCCCCGCAATCCATGTTTTGATTGAAATTCATTGCTTTTACATTATAAGCTCCAGCCAGCCGTCAGACCATCCCAATCAAGGTCACAACCTTTATGCTCTTTTGTCACCGACATCCTTATACCTACCTCCACGGGCTGCATCTACAGGTACTTGAAAGCGACGTCCAATAGAGACCGCGAGCATGAGAAGGCCAGGCTGGTTTGGAATAACGGAGGTCCAGACTGGGATTCAGCATAGACCTAGCGCCACTTATTCTTTCTCGGATCGGATGTAAAGAGAATGCGGACCCTTTCACCAAACAGGTGTAGCCAACGCACCCATCGTGGACTTGTGGTAACATTCGTGCCATGGGAACACCGGTGGACAGGGAAGCTAAGTAGGCGGCAAGAACACCGTTGACTCGTCTCGTCAACCATGAGAATGCCCAGCGTTCCGTAAAGCAACCAATGGCAAGCCGAGGACGACGATGTTTCTCCCTCCATATACGAACTACGAGAGGCTTCAGAATGGAGATGGGGCGTCAGCATGGCTAACTAGTAATGACTCTCGGCCTAGGCTCAACTGAAGTAGCTTCCCCATGAGCTTTGTGAGTGTGTGTGACCGGAGACGATTGTCGCACCGCTATCGAACCATGCCCTTTCCTACTTAGCTGTACTGGGGAGGAGGACGAACGCCACAAACGTGGAAACCAGGATTGCGGCAAGGGACCTGAGGTTTTGAGGCCAGATCTTTTTTCCCAATAACATGGGGATCATGATCATAGCCTGATAGCCATCCAATCGACAACATTTGGGCCGAGGAGCGAAAGGGACAGCTGTATTGAGGAAAGCGCCATACTCCTTCCAAAAACAGCGGGCGTGGCTAAGTGGTCTAAAGACTCGATGAATAAAACAATATGCGAATTCATCTCCCATCAACCAAGACCATGAGGTGTCGGTAATTCGAGCAAGCAAGACTAGTCTAAAATAATGTGTGAGAAAAGATCTACATCCTTCCATCGGCCCATTGGCCCTCCCATTTGTTATCCCAATATTATCCCAGAGGACAGTGACGCGTGAACTCATGAATTCCCATCCAATGGAGAACAAAACCGTTAAGGGGTTCGGGATGATGGTGCTTAATCGACGAGTAAGATGGGCTTGTGCTAGACAGGAGTCATGGGCCTGGAGGACGTACACGACCGTTTGAACCCACCTAGCTAGATTTACGTGGCACGTCGTGACATCTCGAGGCCGCTACGGTACCAATAGCCACGTTCAACTGGCGTTAATGGGATTCCTGTCTGTGTGAGCTGGTCGAAAATTCCATGTTCTCCTTCCTCAGGTACTCTTGGTCTTCAGACATCACGACGGCACTCTGTGATAATAATCGCCAGAACAACGAAATTAACAGTCGAGGGAAACTAGCACAGGGCACCAGCGAGTCCTTCCCGTCCACACTTCGCAGTTGTCGACCGTCTTCAATGTCTCATCGACACAGAAGACGGGATTAGAGCAAGTAAATCGAGAATGACGGTAGATCACCTAGAAGTCTGCATTCCAGTTCCACGAAAAAGCTAGGATATGGGACCACTGGTTCACATCTTGTGGCTGGCTCGAGGCCAGGGCAAAGGGGGCATGAGGCGTTGGACAAATTATGGCCACGTTATTCGTGACGGTAACAGATTCAGTGGCACGCCAGTTACCCGTCGCTTGTCGATAGTCCGACGCATGCTGCTGGCTAAAGGGCGGCCTAGGTATCCGTGGATTTGGCTGGAATAGCCATCGTTGGTCAAGCCATTACAACAGAAATGTGGCTGGCTGGCTAGACCTCCAGACGTAATGGACCGTTGCTAGGAACCGTTGTGCTGGTACCGCCGCAGTGGAACTAAATAACAAGACCTCGCTCGGACATTCGTCTGTTAACACTTGCACCGGGCAGCAGTGCTACTGGCGCCGGACCCATGAAAGCTTGGTCCTGCTCACGCCAACGACATTGAAGCCATAGTGAAGATGCATTTTTTGGCTCATCCAGTGGGCCGTCGCCGAGTCAGAGAGGTGGTATACATCAAGGACCTCAGGAAAATGGTCAGTGATATAGTGACTATCTTGTGCAGTAGGAGTTCGTGGAAGGGGGTAAATTGAGGTTGATACGGAGATGATGGGCTATTTTGACTTTTCGAAAGCTTTCTAGAGCCCTCGTAATTGTCCATGGGAAGTCAATCGAACAGTAAAGAAATCGATGTAGTCTTTCGCCAAAGGGCTGCTCACCACGGAGAGATTCGCTCTCATGCTGTACCAGGTAGTAGAGGCTGGCCCGCCGTGTAAACAACACCGCATGGATGATTCTGCTATGGCCATGAGCTGTAGACGGAATTTTCTCTGCACAAGGTCACTCCGACGGCCGGGACTCCTCTATGGGAGCTTACCTCGCGGCGGGGAAGACGACTGACTGTGCAGTCCGTATAGGTAGTCTGAAGAAGTAAGCTGTCAGGCATTGTCTTCACCTGAGCGGAAAGAGCTCCAGCCCCTGCCATTGGCTACCCAAATCCCTGCTGGAGTGGAATGATGAGCATACTGTGAGTAAAGGTATGTATACGATTTGTGCTCGAGCTTCAATATCGTTGCGTGGAGTGGAAGGGGGGGGGGGGTGGATGCATGTCAAGCACTAAATGCTCTCGCTCTGAAAATGCACGAAGGGCTGGGAAGACTGATTGGATGGCTGGATAAATGGCACTGGGCAGAAGCTGGAGTTTTGGAGATGGGGTTAGAAGCGCAGATACGGGGACGGGGATCAAGGAAACAAGTGAGAAGCTGAGGTGCGGACAAGAAGGACAATGGACAGGCGGCAGGGAGCTGGTAGGGACGCGAGTGACGGTGACATGGTCAGGGTACGGGGAGAGCGATGAGGAATCAAATGCACAAGTTCAGACAGAGCTGATGGGAAACCGGCCGGAGCTTCTTTACATGTCGGCGCTGATGTGCCCTGCATGACAATGGTGAGTTCCATTGTTGTATTCTTGCGGATACCTTACCTACCTTAGACTGAGGTGTATCCGTACGGTCGGCCTGTGGCATCTCACCCTGCGATTGTCAGGAATCGACGACGAGCCGGGGTCAGCTGGGAATAGATGCAGGTGAGGTGCAGCTGGAGGTGGGGATGCTTGTTTCATGAAACCGACGGGTCGGTTAAGAGCTAATGGTTCTTTCCTGCTTTTGCTGTGAGATTTCCGTGTCTACGGAGTAGCTATGTACTCGGCATGTCCTGGCTGGAGATCATTGGTAGGCCCGGGGAGGGGGGGGGAAGGGGCCGGGGATGAAATTGTAGAGGTGGGTCTGCTGTGAAGGGGGAATCTGAAGGAAAAAAAGAAAAAGGATGGGGAGACCTACAGCAGAGGGAAGGGGCAGCATATGAGGAAAATGCCAAATCGCCAAAAATTCGCTTGCGATGTCCATTTGTGGCCTAGCCTAGCTAGCATGGGGGCGGCTAGCCTGTATCCGTACGGAGTTTTTGTTTTCTCTCCTCACCAAGTACACCTCACCAAGTACACAATCCATACCAACGGCCCCGGGAGAGGAGAAGGAGAGGGAACCTAGTTGTTGGAGAGGATGTGGAGCTACCAAATGTACACCATTGCAGGTCATGCTAGTATCATCCCAGAACAGCGAGTTGACTACAACTATTGAATCGACATCACCATGCTACCGCCGTATGCATGGCATATGTATGAGACGATGGCCTCTACAGCTGAAGGCTGAATGTTGGAGCTGAAGTTCAAGCTGCCGAGTCCGAGGAGGCCAGAGAGTAGGGGGCTGATAGTTCTGCGAGAGAGAGAGAGAGAGAGAGAGAGAGAGAGAGAGAGAGAGAGGAATACGAATGCCCGACGTGAATCAGCACGCGTCTCCTCCATGCCTTGCGGATACCCTCACTCGTCAAAGGCTTCTTCTATCCATCGTTCAAAGCCCTGTCTGCCAATTCTTGCCTTCTTCGTCCGTGCCAGAATGTGCCATCCTAACATGTCGTGGCGGTTAGCGTCGTGGATGGGTTGGCGGAGGTGCTGACGGCCAAAGGGATATGGGCAAATTATCCCGCATGCGTGACAAACGACAGCCAACCGTTGGCATCATCGTCAACACCTGCAGCATGCGTACCCGGGCAGAGAACGCACTTGCTGTTCATTCGTATGCCACTTGCGCCTCCGGTCCCGTAGTGTCGGTCCGTTCGCTCACCAGTCCATTGCCGTCAGCACGCTACAGCACACCCAACGTCGAGAACCGTACAGCTGGAAAGGATGCCAACGGTCTTTGCTTGCGGGTTTCAACGTAGCTTATTCCTTGGTGCAGCGGCTGCCACCGCCCCAGGGCATCTAGTCGCCGGTGTCCCAAGCCCTCGGGCGCAGCTAACACGGACGAGGTACGCAAGCCACAATCAGCGCCTACGGCATAGGGCTTGTCAAAGAATATGCTGCTGGCTCCGGCCGGGCCCAGCGCCGCCGATTATGGCGCCGGACGAGATACCACTTTGGGCACAATTGTCCCGGAACACCCTCCAGCATCGGCGGATGCAGAGTTGTTCATCCTTCCAATGCAGCGAGCCAGTCGGCAGTTGAAGCCGATCTGTCTAATCCGTCCCGATTTCTCGTTTTGCCGTGGCCATGGGCGTGAGGACTGCCATCCCATGCTAGGTAACTTAGACATCCGATTTCCCAAAGGCTCGTTCTGTTGCAAATCTCGCCGACACGTATCCTGCATGATCGGGCTATCAACCTCGCAAGTGCAATAGTTTCTCATCATCTGACCCCTCCTCACGTAGCAGTATCAGTCGTTCGACAGAAGAACGGTATTCGACCCGCCAATTTGCCAATATGCGACAGATACGACGCGGCTGGATAAGCGCAGGAGCCAGAAGTCAGGGATTATATCCAAGCAAAGTTGATAGTGTCCGACAATATTGATATGATGGGAGGAGGTGGTGGATGACGGCGCCATCATCCCTTCGCCGTTGAACACCCCTCGAACTAAACATCCGGCCCTGGGGACCTAGGTCCCAGA